CAGTACCATTTGTCACACTAGTCCATCCTAAGTCTACCACCTGGTAATTAGGGTGGCCATGTGTGCTTGCTAATTGCCATTATCCAGAGGAAAAAGTAAACGCCCCATGTCTTTATGACAAGAGGTACCGTAGCTTTGCAGCTTGGAGCGAGGCACCTACAGACGTTAGGTTCCTGCCCTCCCAGGAATCTGAAGCACAGGGGTGCTATCTTCCTTGATGATTACAGTTCAGAGAGATGGTTCCCAGGTCCTTGAGAAAAACATTTCTAGGTTGTAAAACCCGCTGGAGACTCATTTAACTTTTTAAAAATACCTACGTACATCTCAAAGGAGTAGACAAAGGACTTACAATTACATATAAGTTTCCTAAAATAAACGCTCTAAGAAAAGGAAGGAAGGTAATCTCTCTTTTCCTTTTTTGCACCAGGGAGAATGAAATTATTTTTCTTATTTTTGATGTGTATTCACCCCCCACAGGGTCGCCCTATTAACTTGCAGTGCGGGATGTTTTCTTCTGATGAGTAGATCACCTTTATCCCCCATCAAAGGCTGGCCTTTGGCAGGGTGCACCGGGCCTGCTGGGTGAGCCTGGGAAGAAAGCAGGGGAGGTTTTAAGAACTATTTCCTCCATCAGTAGTTTTAGTGCTTATTTTACCAAGACTCTCAGTAAAAACACAAATGTTGAACCACAGCCCTGCAGCTTTACCTCTGTAACCTTCACCGGCTCACCTGAGTCCTAAACTCCCAGCCCCGCCCCCAGATCACGCCTCTCCCCAGGAGGACCAATCACCAGTGACGTGGATGGGGCCTCATGATTGACAGCCTCTGCGACTGAGTAGCCTTCCAGGGCACACCCTGCCTTCACAGGCTACAAGAGTGGGCTTTTTCCTTTGCACCAGAAAAATGAAAGGAAGAAAACAGGCGCACAAAATACAAGTCCCAATTTTTGTTTTATTTTGGTAAAATACGCATAACATAAAATTTAACCACTTAACCCTTTATTAGCATTTAGTACATTCACAATGTACAACCATCACTTCTAGTTCCAAAACATTTCCATCATCCCAGAAATAAAACCCCCTACCCATTAAGCAGTCACTCCGCATCCCCGGACCCCCAGACCCTGGCAAGCACTAACTGCTTCCTGTCTCTGTGGATTTGCCTATTCTGGACATATCATATAAATGGAATCACACATATATGGCCTTTGTGTGTCAGACTTCTTTCACTGCGAGTGATGTTTTGGAGATCCATCCATGTTGTAGCGCGTGTCAGTACTTCCTGCCTTTTTACAGCCAAATAATATTTCATGGTATGGACACACCACATTCTGTTTCTCCACTGATCCGTTGATGGGTATTTGGGTTGGCTCTACCTTTTGGCGGTTGTGAATAGTGCTACTATGAACATTCGTGGACAAGTTTTTGCTTGAAAGTCCTAATTTCTTATTATTGAGTTCAGTGGACAAAGCCATTCTACCAAACTGCATGTATTCTAAATGCTTCCTTTCACCTCGGGCACTTGGCTCGGCATGGACCAGCAGCAAACAGGGAAGGGTGCCCAGTTTCCACAGACCACACTGTACGTAGCCTTGCTCTGCACCATCTGTGTTTGGCTCTGTTTAGGTAATGATTGTTTGCTTAGTGCAAAAGAAGCCTCGGTTTGCTGAAAAGGGTTTTAAAATGAAGTCCTCAATAATTCTGCCAGCCATTGTTAACTAGATGGGGGCTGATGGGCCCCAGCCTTCTCTTAGATTGCAGCCTGTGTATGTAGCAGACCCTTGGTCTTCAGCCTTCCATGGCTGTGGCAGGTCTCCCTGCCTCACAGCTGCATTGGTCTCTAGAAGCTCTGGCCCCTGCTTCCTCTGGCTGCTCCAACACAATGCCCAGTTGGGTCCATGGGCTCTGTTTCCAGGGCCTGCAGCTTCTCTCTGTTAAAGAGTTTTGAGGGCCGGCCAAGTGGCTCAGTTGGTTAAGAGTTGGCTTAAGAGCGCGAGCTCTGAGCAACAGGGCCACCGGTTCGATTCCCACATGGGCCAGTGACACTACACCCGAGCTGAGCTGTCGCTGAGCTGCCAACAGGTGGCAGGATGGCTCAGCTGGTGTAACGACAAGATTGCCTGTTCAGTGGTGGGCTATGCCCACCCGCAACTAAGACTGAACTCAGCACCTTGAGCTGAACTGCTGCCCAGATGGCTCAATGGATAGAGCGTATGCTCTTAACAACAAGCCTGCTAGTTCGACTCCCGCATGGGGTGGTGGCTACACCCACCCGTAACTAAGATTGAACACAGCACCTTGAGCTTAGAGGCCACAAGCTGCCGACGGGAAGCCAGATGGCGACTGGCGCCCTCCACAACGAAGATTGAAGAGCAACAACCTGGCTGGTCCCCTTCCCCAGTTCCCCAACACTGTTGCCCTCCCTCAATTCCCCAATAAAATCTTTAAAAAAAAAAAGAGTTTTGACACTTTGGGTTGTGAATAACAGAAGCCCAATTTTTGCTTTAATCACAAAAGGAAGTTTGTGACAAGGTCTCTTCATCAAAGTCCTCCTGTGTTTCTGCCCTTGGGTAGTCGGGCTCTGAGGGGAGGCCATGGGTCACCTCATTCTCTGTCCCTGCACCCAACTGCCTGCCACCAACCACTGGGCCACCGCCTAGAAAGAGGCACTGTCTCCTTCTCAGGGTCAGTTGAGTTTTTTAATATCTGAGGGAGGGAGATTTATGCATGAGAATGAACACCTACAGCTGCCTGGTTTTAATTGCTCTTCAGTTTAGATCTTTTCCTTAGTTTGGGCACAACATCAATCTAGTCAGATCACTATACTTTAAGAACGCTTGTGTTCATTAAATCGCTACCTTTTTTTTTTTAAGATTTTGTTGGGGAATTGGGGGAGGGGGACAGCATTGGGGAATTGGGGAAGGGGAACAGACAAGTTGCTGTCCTTTTGTTCTTCAGTCTAGNCAAATGAAATCACCATTATGTGAATAATAGCCTTTAAAAATTTTGTCAATGAAACTATGATAGTTTTATTTTCATTTTTAATTTTACTTCAGAGCCACATGTATGTACCCAAAGAGCCGCATGTGGCTCGCGAGCCGCAGTTTGCCGACCCCTGCTCTAGACTATAGGTCTGCGATGTTGTATCTGATTAATTAGTTGGGGGAGAGTGGGGACGGGTTGCCAAGCTGGAGACTGGAGGGCATCTGTGAGCGCCTGAGATATCGGGCAGGGGGCTTCTCAAGGCAGAGGGGAGCACCCAAGCCTGTGTGGGGTGGGGGCACTCTGTGTGGGAACAGGGTCTTATGGAGCTGTGTGTGTCTTCCATAGGAGTTGGAGAGTCAGTACACCCCCAGCAGATGGGTCATCCGACTGGGAGCACAGGAAGCCCTGAGGACCTACTCACAGATGGGAAACGACGGTATCGGGGACCTCTCTGTGGCCACTTTGGGTGGACTTTAGCTTGTGGCAGTGGTTCAGAATGATGGGGGTGAAGCCACACAGCCCCTGCTCCTGGCGCATTCCCAAGGCCCAGGTGCTGGGCTCAGGGCCAGGTGCCAGGAAGCCCTTGGTACAGAACTGCTGAAGTCAGGAGAGGCCCAGTCGGCAATGCCCCATCTCTGCCCCTGCTCTGCAAATAGTGCCCACGCCTTAAGCTTACATGCCACAGGGCACAGGGAGGTGGAGTGAAAAAAGAAAGCCCTCCCACTGGGCTGCTGAACGTGGGATGTTGTTGCTGTTTATGCAAAGGGACAAGTCTTTTTATCTTTTAAAGAAATCAGGGCTTGGGAACTTGTAAGTTAGTAAAGTGTCAAGGTTAATTCCCACCTCTCCCCTGTGTCTCCAGAGTGTTGTATTGTGATTTTAACACTCAGAGGAGCATTTGTGCTGGGCTGGGAAAGCAGGAGAGGCGTGAGTGAGGAAGAAGCCAGCCTCTCGCTTCAGCCTGGAACACCGGATGTTGGAAATTGGCTTTGTTTCAGCAGACTGAACAGAGCTCCTGGGGTTGGTGGTTCTCTAACTCAGCTGGAGGAACAGGCTTGTGGGAGCTTATTCCAGCACATTCTCGCACCCACTCTGTGGGGTGGAGCTGTGTCCCGGGCTCTCCAGAGCCCCCTTCTGTGCCCAGCTCTGTGCCAAATACACCTGTTTGCTCAATAAATATTTGAATGTGCAGTGACGCCTGAATGAGCTTGTAGAAAACATGTTTATCCTCATCTTGAGGGAGACAAGCGCTAACCCTTTTGAGCAAGGGAGTCACTCATAAGAGGCAGGGGCTAAGAAGAGGGTGCTGCCGGCGCCCTCAGGGGCGCTAGTCATGGCTCTCCACAGGCCCTGGGGACCACTTTCCGTTCACGTTGTGCCTCCCTGCCTTCTCTCCCTGCTCCAGCTGGCCCGTGTCATAGGTGAAAACCATCTTCATGAGGGCCATGCGTGTGCAGGGGTGGAGCTTGTTTCTATTTGAAATGCTGACATTTTGTTCATCATGGACTTTTTGGCATTCATTTTGGGGTTTTTTTAATCGCATTCCAATTTTATTTATCTTTGTATTGGTCAGCTCAGGCTGCCATAACAAAATGCCATCGACTGAGTGACTTAAACAATAGGAATCTATTTCTCACAATTCTGGAGGCTGAGAAGTCCAAGATCAAGGTGCCAGCCCATTTGGTGCCCTGGGGAGGGCCCGCTTCCTGGCCCTCACCTTCTCCCTGTGTCCTCACATTGCGGGGAGAAGGGGGGACAGGGCAGGGGGCTCTGATCTTTCTTCCTCTTGTTACAGACCACTAATCCCATCATGAGGGCTCTACCCTCATGACCTCATGTAACTTTAATCACCTTCTAGAGGTCCCACCTCCAAAGACCATCACATGGGGGGAGGGGGCTAGGGATTCATCATATGAATTTGGGGGGAGACCCAAATGTTCAGGCCATAGCAATCTTCATTACCGAGTTTTTGGTACCACCTCACTCACCTCCCCTTAGTCCAGGCCCTGCTTAATGAGGTTAAATAACTTACCTAAGCTCACCCTGCTAGTGATGGCTGCCGCTCCCCCCGAGTGGGGCTTCCTGGTAAGAGTGGAGCAGGCTGACGGGTGGGGGCGGGAGGGTGGGATGACTGTCAGTCAGTGTGACTGAGTGCACACCACCTAGCCTCTGCTGGTGCAGGGCCCCAGACCTCATCAGTGCTGCCTGTAACCTTGGAGATGGCCTCGTTAGACTCAAACTCACAGCAAAGGGATGTCAAGTAGAAACAATGAAAGATAAAGTCTCCTGCCAACTCAGACAGAGAACCTCTCCACAGCAAGAAAGAAAACATATTTTATTATTGGGTAAAGATTAAACCAAACCGCCGTGTGCATCACAGGCAAGCCTCTGGACATTGCAAAACTGGAAAGAGGGCCGGCCAAGTGGTACATTGGTTAAGAGCTGGCTTGGGACGCCAGAGGGCCCCGTTCGAATCCCACATATGAGGGCCAGTGACACTGCCCTCTACAGCTAAGATGCTGAACAACAGCTCAGCCTGGAGCTGGGCTGCCATGGGTTGCCTGTGATGGCGCAGGCTGCAGCCCCTGTGACAGTGGGTTGCCATGGGCTACCNAAGCACTTAGCTTCTGGGTCCAAGAGCCCACCCTGAGCCTCACCCTCGTGGGCCAGGGATTTGAGCTGGAGTGTTCCCCTAGGGCCACGGACCAGGGCAGTTACTGAGGGGCTCACTAGGCCCACCTCGGTTCCAGGAGTGGTTCTACCACGTGGGTGAGCAGATGCATCGCCTGACTCCTCATTGTGGAAAGTTACGTTTCCCGGCCATCTAAGGGAACAGTACAGTCTCACTGGAAGGAGGCCTGCAGATGCGCACTGCAAGCTGCTTAGGGGCTGGCCCACAGGGAGCACACTTTTTAAAAGCCGTGATCGCCCCCTTCCGAGTGAGAGGCTAAGCTGTGGCCAGCTCCTCCGGCAGGAGCCTTCCTTGCTTGAGTGACACTCAGGGGAGGACGCTTTGACCTGAGCGGGCAGGGAACGGATGCAGGGAGGAGGGGCACCCCGGGCAGGAACGCAAGGTCTGGCCGTGGGGGCTGCTCTCGAGGGGGAGGGTTCTGGCAGAGGCGGCAGGCCCCGGCGGGGCGCCAGGGGAGGACGACGTCCCGGGACAGGGAAAGGAGAAGAAAATGGTCCCGGAACACCCCCCCCACCCCGCGAGGCCGTTACCTTTTTCCTGAGAACATGGGTCCGAGAATCACCTAGAAAAGAAGGGGCGGTCACTTCGGGGCCCACTGCGCACAAACGCCAGGGCACCGGCCACGAGCCCGCCCCCGTCTGCCAGGATCCCACCCCCGGCGCTCGCACCTGGATCTGCCCCCGGGTCTTGCTGGGGGAGCCGGGCAGCACGGTGGGCAGGTTGATGCAGCTCATGGCACCTCCAGGAACCTCGCGGAACAGGACCCCTTCACAGCGGCCGCTCAGAAACTTCCGCAGGTTCCCGCGCCCCTGGCTTCATCCGGCGCGCCGGCCAATCGGGAGCCGCCGTGAACCCCTCCCCCACCCACCAGCCCCCAATCAATTACCGTGAGGCTGTGGCGCTGGCGGGAGCCTTGATGTGCAGCCCGCCCCCTCGTGGGTGGGACCAGGGGCGCGCGCGCGTCTCCAGGCCCCAGCGCGGCGAGCTCGGCTCAGACCCCGCCCCGTCCCTCCCGCCCGCTGTCAGTACGCGGGGACGTGTGCCCGTCCGGGGGCAGGCAGAGGGATGGAGGGCCCTGCTGAGGACCGCAAGGGCGAGGCTCCCTGGAAGAAGCTGTCTGAAGAGGTAGGCGGATGGCAGGGAGAGGCTGGGGCTAAGGAGTGGAGCTCGGAGACGAGGCGGGAGCTCTGAGAAGGAAGCTTAGACGCCCCCTAGACTAGACTCCTGCGGTCCTCGCTGAGCGTTTGCTGAGTGCCGGCTCCCGAAGGCTTCGGCACGGTGGCTCACCGCAGGCAGGCCCTTGTGAGCCTGACTTGAAAGGGAGAGACAATCGAAGCCCTGGCTATGATCATATCGATAAGCCCACAGGAGTTGGGGCCCGAGTTCCCCATATGAGGCTGAGGTTTTACAGTGAATGTGTATGGAGGATGGACTCGATGCACAAGGATGCAGAAAAGCTGGTGCTTACTGCGGTGTGGTTGGGAGAGCTGGAAACAACATATGCACAGCACTTGCGATGATGATCATTCAGTTATAATTCCCTTACGAGTTTTCCTGCACTGTAGGCCGTGGTTCTTTTTCTGGCTATGGACGCACCTGAGACTCTGCTGAAAGTTGTGGATACTGCCCCTAAGAAATCCCGTCCTGCCTGCCTCTCTGTCTCTCTGTCTCTCTCTCTCTCTCTCTCTCTCTCACACACACACACACACACTCACAACCTACAATATCAGAGGACTCTCAGAAATCCATTGCAGTAGCAGTATCATAAATTATAGCAATAAAGATGATAGCAGTTACAGAGTAAGACATCCTATAAGTAATAA